ATAAAATAAAGATATAATTATAGACAAAAAATAATTAGTCAAATAAAATGTGCTACGTATCAATTTTAAAGCTTAAAAATAATATTATTTTTATTAAATAAAATTAATTTGATGATATTTTTACAGTTATAATAAAATATTATATGTCCCATTAATAATTGAAATCAGCTTGACGAAAAGATTTGTTTTCAAAAATTATGTCAGAAATAGTGATGATGTGACAAAAGGTGAGAACTTGTGGAAAACGAAAGAAGGTGAGAGGTCTTGCATTGCCCTTTAGATGGCAGCAAAATAATTCCCGTTCAACTTGAGGAAGTTTATATATTTTTAAAATAGAAACATAATAATTAATTAATTAAATTTTATTTTTATTTTTAATGAATTATTATTTAAATAAATGTGTATATGATAATTTATTTTGTAATTATGTTATTAAAATAAAGTTAAATTAAAAATAAGTATATTAAGCAACATCTTAAAATAAAAAAATAAATAATTAAATTTAAATAAATTAAATTAAAAAATAAAACAATTAAAGTTGAATAAGAAAGAACTAATTAGTCAATGATAGATTTGTTAAAATTTAATTATGTGTGGTCTTATTAATGAGTGATTTAAATTTAATAAAGAGATTGATTTTACTACTCTAAAACTTTAAACCATATGCGTGAAATTCAATTATTGTAATCAATTTTGTTAGTTTAAAATATATTATGAAAACAATCAATATAGGCATAAATCTAATAAGCTCTTAACAAGAAGGGATTACAACATGTGCAACTTTTAAGTTTTCCTACAAATATTTCTAATTTTAATCAATTTTAGTTCTTCGAAAATTTTTATAATAAAAACCCAAACTTCAACGGTGCATTTCTTTACCCTTTCAAATATTAATATTATTTCATAGCCTCCTCTTCATGTACACAATAATGGAAAGATTATGCACTTGGATCTTCGGTTCAATTACGTCAGATCACATATAAATACATTTTTCTTCTCTCAAAGTAATGGTTCGAATCCGATTCTTTCGAATTTGTTTTAAAAAAAAATAATGAAAAGATTATTATATAAAAATGAGTGTAATTTTGGATATGGTGAGCAATGGAAATGAATTGATTGGCCAAAAAGGAAAGAAAAAAGGTATAGGTCAGTGTTCTTCTTTCTCGTTCACTCATCTAAATTGATCAATTTAAAAATCAGTTTCAGATAGATAAATCAATTTAAATTGGAAGAAAATAACTTTAGATGTGGTTATAGTTA